AATTAATTAATTACTATATAATTAATTAATTACTATATAATTAATTATTATGTAATTAACTAATTACCATCACAGACCGTGATAGACAGGGTCTGGACCCATCACAGACCGTGACAGACAGGTTTTGGACCCGTCACAGACCGTGACAGACAGGACTCAGGGGTCATTATAGACTGATAGAAGACTTCAAGGAAATATCAGAGATGATGCATAACTCACATATGATTGAAGCATATATGCAGTATTATCCTGATGAAAGTATATAATGTAAAGTAAACCATCATGAAGAAATGTGCATCAGTATGCATAAAAAACAACAGCTTTTAGAACATCGACTATAGCAGCTACATCGTGTTACACATTTTTAATTCCGCAAGGAATTGCGCTAACAGCTTTTTCTCCATACCTCCGGAAAGCAAAAGTTATCCACTACGTTTGATCTCTTTTTTACATTTGAAAAAAATAATTATACCATTTGATAGCGCTTGAAAGTCTCTATCGGCATTTATAGAAATATATTGCCTTGAATATAAATAGGAAAAAAAAACCAGTGTGTCTTCGAAATTGTCAATTGAAAGTTCTTCACTTTACTTTTTAACAGATCAATGCAAAGCAACACATAAATATATGGGATGATAGAGAATTTCAAGGGCTATAAAATGATATAATTAGTTTTTTCGAGTGTAAAAAGAAGTCAAACATAGTGACTAACTTTTGCTTTCCGGGAGTATATAAGTGTGTGTTGCATGTGGAATAGACACATTCTAGAGATGTATAGTAGCTAAGGCCCCCTCCCCTCTCCCCTCAAAAATCGATCTTGACGCAGGAACGTTGGAATGAGCTGAAATTTTGAGGATATGTTAGGAGCATTAAGGTGAGTAAATTTTCAGCCCAAAACTATTTCATTGACCAAACAAGGTCGAAGAATAGCTAATTTGGCAACCGAAATTTCTCTGTAATGGTTCGTCGAATGTATTCATTTGAAAGAGCGTGTCAAGATGCAGGGCACTACGTCGCTCTTTTTTAATCGTAAAATAGAGGTTACAAGTTCAATGACTAAAAAATTGTAATCAAATCATATCACTGACTTTCTATTGACTAAAGAAAAGAGGTATTTCAAAAAAAGGATGAACCATTACAGAGAAATTTGGGATACGCATATGAGAAAAAACGAAAGAGATTTTTGGATATTTCAAAAAACTGATTCTCTGAAATTCTGAAAATTTTCTCAATTTTGACAGTTCTCATGAAAATCGACTTTTTGTGAGGGGAAGGGGGTTTAATA